TTCCATGTTTTCGCCATTTGTGGATAATGGCTCTCACTGTGGTTCGCTGGAGTCCCAAAGCTTTAGAAATGGCTTTGTAACCTTTTCCAGACTGATAGATCTCAATTACTTTGTTTCTCATTTGTTCCTGAATTTCTTTGGATCGCAGCATGATGTCTAGCTTTTGAGGATCTTTTGGTCTACCTCACTTTGTCAGGCAGGTCCTATTTAAGTGATTTCTTGATTGAGAACAGGTGTGGCAGTAATCAGGCCTGGGTGTGGCTAGAGAAATTGAACTCAGCTTTCCAAAGATGTGATAAACCACAGTTAATTTATGTTTTAACAGGGGGGGGCAATCACTTTTTCACACAGGGCCATGTAGCTTTGGATTTTTTTTCCCCTTAATAATAAAAACCTTCATTTAAAAACTGCATTTTGTGTTTACTTGTGTTATCTTTGTCTAATATTTACTTTGTTTGATGATCTGAAATATTTAAGTGTGACAAACATGCAAAAAAATAAGAACACTTTTTCACACAACTGTAGAATAGAAATACCTGAATTTTTGGCTTTGTTTTGGTTGCTTTTTCTGACGTCAGCATTCCTCGCACCTGATGTGTTCAAAGACCGATAAAGATAAAAATATTTTAAAAAAATCTGATAAAAATCTGGCAATAATAACTGCTTTTACAGCTTCTGGTTAGGATGAACCAAAAACCAGACGCTTATCACTCCATGTGTGTTTATATTGAAATAGTATTGAAAGTCGGCCAGTTTAGAACTATAATATTAACAAATGTCACTGAGTAGCAGTGTCCTAGGTTTTCCCTCAACAAAAAATGTCCTTTCCAAAGTGATATATAACAACTTCGAAGGGCCAAATTGACATTTTATCAGTTGTCAAGCATGTGTCCATGGGTGGCACAGCTCCTATTACAGATGGATGTCTGTCAGAAGTCAGTTTATTTTTAGTGCTGATGCAAAAAATAATATTTTACGTGTAATGTGAAACCAAAGTTCACAAGCGTAAATTCCGCCCCTCGGAGACAGCCACATTTTATATGCGTTAAGAGAATGAGTACAGATATTTGTGTTAGTTTTATATAAAAAAAATGTACACATGTTTTGTTCAGTGAGGAGAGAAATACCTTTATCACTAGCATACGTTTTGAAGGTGAAATGTTTTATAGGGGCCCAAATAAGAAAATGTTCCTGACGCTGAAAGTGCGATGAACCTCTTGCTTTTGTAGAGATTATAATTTGGGCACGAGCAACGACCAGGGGTCGGTAAGGCCAGAAGCTGTAAGAGCCCAAGCTCCGACAAGGGCGGAGCCCGCGGACCTATTGTTCTTCTAATGATTAATATTATTATTAGAGTCAGATGATCGCATAAACAAGGTGCTTGGGGTGCTGGAAGACTCTTGAATTTTGGCACACCCATCAATACTGGTGAAAATAGTGCCTGTTAACCATGGTTGTACGCAGGGTTTAGGAATAAAGCTGTCCAAAAACTGAGTTCATTAGTGGGCTTTGGGGGCATGCTGCCTGAAAAGTAGTTTTATTTCCCTGATCTGAATATCTGCATTTTAATGTTTGGAGACCAAAAATTGGAGAACAATAGCTTTGAAAGCATGTCAGTGGGCATTAGTATAAACAGTATTGCATGAGAATCAGATTAAATGACGCAATGAATGATCCACTTTACAATCACACATTTTAGAAGAGTCTAATCACACATCTGAAAATGAATGTTGACCATGTCTAATTGTTGAAGTGAAAGCAAAGTTACACTCCTGCTCTCTGTCACGCTCTGCACTCACTGCCTGTCCCTTTGTCTGTGACTCCTCACTCCTCTCTCCTGACAACTTGTATTTAAAATAACTAGTGGGGTTTGGGGCCATGCCTCGCTGATCTAAATATGTGCATTTAAAGATATTAGAAAGGCAAAAATTGGATTACAATAACTTAATTATATCAGTAGGGATTAGTGTCAATGATCTGTGCAGCAGTAATACACGAGAATCAGGTCAAATGTTGCGATGAATGACCCACACTACAATCTGAAAGAACACAATGGGCTAAAACAATCACAAAACATCTGCAAATGAATGTTGACAATGTTTATGAAAGTGATGATGGCAAAGCAAGGTCACACAACTGTTCTCTCTCGCCCGCTGTATTCTGTGCCTGTCCCTCTCTCTAACACTTGCCTCTCCTGCAAACTTGTATTACAAATAAATGACTACAATTACATACATTTTCTCTATTTCATCTTCGTGTTTGAGTGCACCATATGTGTTTTCAGTGAGATATTTATGCAATAATAAGATGTTATTACACTATAATTATGCCAGGTGGTAAATTGAGCCTATAGGTTCCACAGTACAACCCAAAGAACACATGTTCCTCTCTCATCTCCATCACCTTCTCTCTGTTTCTCTCTCAGTCTCCTCATCTTCTAACGTCTCTCTTCCTCTTCTAAAGCTGAGCATCAGTTGACGGTCGTTACAGCTTTGTCTGTCTCGGTGTAGAAAGTAAACATATGTAGGATATAATCATTTTGTACTTTACCTTGAGTAACATTTTGAATAATGATATATATGTTTGGTTTATTGATCACGGGGAGGTGGAGGCTGTGCGGAGGGCATGCCAGCTCTTAAGCGTAAGTTTTAAACTTGGTGATTATATGCTCTGACCTTTTGAAGCAGAAAAGCCTAACCAGGGATAGGGGCCACACATCTGGCTAGAAATCCTTCAGTATAAAACACCTCTGCATTGTAACATGTTACAATGTTCTTCTTGCTTTAAATGTCCAGCGGTGAGAATACTACAAGTGTCATTCATTTGATATGATTACGATTAAGTAAAATTCAAGGGGATGATTATGTTAAATACACT